ACTCTATTTGTTGCCATTGGGCTCCATCTTCTCGCGGTACAGCATTTCATTTCACTGTTATGCTGATGATTTGCAGATTTATCTACCTTTAAAAGCAGGGTCAGACCATCCGCAGCTCTTATTATGCTGACAATGTCAAACATGCATCATTAATTTTTTTAAAGCTAAATGAAAATAAAACTGAGGTTGTCATTTTTGGCAACTTCAATCATATCGACAGCACTCTGGGCCCCTTTCCTTCTATTGTAAAACACATATAAAAAACCTCGGTGTCTACATTGATGGTTCTTTTAAATTGAATAAGCAGGTGAGTGCAGCAGTTCAGTCCTGCTTTGTTCAGTTAAGACAGCTGGCCAAGGTAAAGCCATACCTCCCGGCTAACGTCTTTGAGCGTGTTATTCACCTTTTCCTTACTTGCAGATTAGACTACTGCAATTCATTGTATTATGGTCTAGATCAGGCCACCATCCATCGTCTTCAGATGGTTCAAAATGCAGCTGCTCGCCTGCTAACTGGTACCAAACGGAGAGAGCATATAACCCCAGTTTTAGCTTCTTTACACTGGCTTCCTGTCTCCTACAGGATCCAATTTAAACTTCTACTTTTTGTTTTTAAGTCACTTAACGCCCGAGCCCCTCCTTACCTGTCTGAGCTCCTCTCTGTTTATGCTCCAGGAAAAACCACGAGGTCTAGCTCAAAACTAATGCAGTCCATCCCACGGACTAACCTCAAATCCCGTGGTGATAGATCCTTCTCTGTGGCAGGTCCCAGACTTTGGAATAGTCTCCCCTTAAATATTAGATCTGCACAAACACTTGAGCAATTTAAATCATTACTAAAGACACATTTCTATGCCCTGGCTTTTAACACACTATGACCCAAGCATTCTGGTCTTATTTGAATTAGTTTAGTTATTGTTTTAATTCTTTTATAGTCCTATTATTGTTTTTTATTGTTATTATTGTATTACATTGTTGCTTTTTAATACCATTCTTATATTGTTAAGCACTTTGTGCAGCATCGGCTGTTTGTTTCTATATAAATAAATTTGACCTTGACCTTGGCAGGTGATCAGAGGGGCTGCCAAAAAATGGCAGGATGACCAGGGTGATGCCAACAACCTTCACAGCGTCTTTGTGTTTTATCTGGTCACTTCTGTGAATAGTGAAGTCGTCCTGAAATTCTGGGTCAAAATAGTGAAGACTGAAGTCGTTTGAAATCCCAAAGGTATTCTTCACAACACTTTGCAGCTCCTCTACTGTTGGTGGGATCCTGATGGAAGAACCAACTTCTTGATTTGGTCATCAGTAATTACACAGAACTTTGCCTCCATCTCGTTCAACCTACAATAAAATGTAAATGGGCAGAGTTAAGTTAGATTAAGTTAGATTAAGTAGGGTCAACTTGGTCATTTTCTGCTGCTTTCAAAACTAGTAGTTTAATTTAATACAATCATCCATCACAACATATTTAAAATGCATAGTCTACATACTGATCAACTGAATTTAAGTTGAGGGATCTTCCAACAACTGAAATGAACACAACATTAATAACACTCGCACTCTCCGAAGTAAAAATTTTACACACACAAATTGTTAAAGACAAATTTTAATTAATACTAACATTTTTAAAGGTGAGGCTCACATATAAAACAATGAAACTCTTTATTATATTAAAAAGGGGATAGACCCTATTTTCTGTACCAATTTGGTGACAGATCATGACATGAAATAACACTATTTATGTATTTATATACTGTATACATAGCTGGACTGTCCATCGGGCATTTGCCTGGTGGGCCGATGGTGATTTTTTTCTTGTACTGTCATGAACAATGAGAGGCGGTGGATTGCCCAGATGCTGGCCGATGTGTAAAAATAACTCGCCAGCAGGTGGATGAGGGAAAGGTGAGGCAGGAGGAGCAGAGACCTGAGGCGGCCGCTGGTCCGAGCGTCAGGTGAACTGAACTTCAGGTAAGAAGTTATGACCTGCAGTCTCTCTGGGTCAGATATAAACCAAGTTTAGGTGGAGTTTATTTTCGTTATGCTGACTTTTTACAGTCAGTTACAATAACTCGTACTGCGTTCTAGCTAGCATGACGGAGTTTCTACAGCTGGGTGGGTGCTATGATGTTACTGATAGTGAACTTTATTTTATTCATAAGGTTAGTTAGTAGAGTTTCCAACCGTCCTGTAAAAAGACGGAAT